CCTTAGTCTTATATATATATATATAATTTTTTGAAATGTAGAGGTTGTTAAACTAAAATTATTTGACTAATTCATTAAATTTGGTTAAATTTTATAATATTATTTGGCAATTTAAGTTTGGGATTTAAATTTATTATCTCAATGTGATTTTAAAATTTGATAGAGTAATTGAGAAATTTTATCGTTTGATATGGATCTCAAGGTAATTTTTTTCAAGGAATGTTCTGAAGGTTCTGATTTCAGCAAATTTATAGTCAACAAGAGCGTCTTGACAAGATGAACTGATGATACTAAAATTGGTTTAATATGAGTCCAACTGAGTAGAGATTAAGCCATTGAAGCAATTTTGAAGGCTTCAAATTGTTAATTGAATGTTCAAATAAATTCTAAAATTTACATACATAGTCAAATCTATTGTCTGGACAAGAGAAATTTAACGAGTATGTACTACCATAATCTTAAGGTTATTAAAATGCTCAAATCATTAAGAAAAATCTCATATGGTCAAGGGGGATCAATATGGGTCATCCGATCAGGTCGTTATGAGATTTATTCGCAGAACGACCAAAATATCTTTCTCAAAGGTTATAAATTGTCTCTCTCTCTCTCTCTTCAATTGAGGGAGGAAGAGTCAAATTTAAGTGCTTTTTATGGACTGAAAACTCGACGACAACTCTTGACTGGCTAACAACATTTCTTGAAAACAGTATAATGACAAATCTCGAGTATGGTGTATTGATGTATCTCAAATGCGGTGTAACGACATATCACGAATGTGGTGTGGCGACGTATTATGAATAAGGAGTAATGCGATATATCTCAAATATGTTGTAAATGGATAACATTGTATTGAAGATCCAACGATAACTTCCAACGACAATTACTTATGATTGTCATTTTCAGAATATGGCAGCTTGTTTTGGGCTCCTGAACTTTTTTATACGTCGTATGGCCTCTATGACCAATGTTATCTCTGGTGTAAACTAGTAAACCCGAGAGAATGGTTGCATTGGCCTCTATGACCAGTCACTTCTAAAGCTTCCCACTACGGTCTCTATGGACAACTGACCTTATTGTAGTCTCCAACTATGACCTCTATGGCCAACTAAAGCTATTGTAGTCACCAACTAATGATATTTTACTCACAAACTATGACTACTACATCTAACAATTACGATCTATGTGGTTATCTACTATTGTAGCTTTCAACTAAGGCCTCTGTGGTCAACTGACGCTGTTGCAGCTACCAACTATGTTCCATGCGACCAACTACCGCCTATGTTGCTAATTGCTACTACAACTTTCAAAGATGACTTCAATGGCCAAATGATGTTATTACAGCTACCAACCATGACCTATATGAACAACTATAACTTATATGATTAATTGCTATTATAATTTATAACTATGATCTCTATGATCAACTAATGCTACAACAACTACCAACACAACAAATGTGACTAACTATGACCTTTATGGCTAAGTACTACTTTCATTTTCAACCACGACCTTTAAGGCCAACAGATGCTACAACAAGTACCAACTATGACATATATGACCAACTACTACTACAACTTCTCACTTTGGCCTTGATGGCTAAGTAACGCTTATGCGACCAACTACGATGACTCGACTCCACCTAGCTAGCCATTTTATCAGCCTCTAGCTATTGCACACTCGATGGACTAGCAACTGACAGAGAACTCTTAGCTGACAACGAAAATGTTGACATCTCGATCAGGATTATCTCATTCTTGACAATTATTTAAAAAATAATAGGTGAATTAGAAATAGAATAAATAAATTCAGCACCTTCCAAGTCTTCTCCAACAAAAACCACCATGGCTTTTGGTCGACCCGCCACTTTGACAGTTTCAAGGGGAGCAATCTCAGTGCGAGCAATTGAACATACCTTCTTTGAGCAGTAATCTTTGCCTCTCTCCCAGCCACAAGAGCATCATAAGCTTTTC